ACATCTAACCATGCCGTGAGATACACCAGAGACAGACACAGCAGACTTTAAAGGACCACATCGACATTTGGGAGTTAGAAAAAAAAAAATCACTTTCGATGCCAGTCTTACAGTAAATATGTAGCTGGAGCCTGTTAGCTTATTTTAGCATAATAATTCAGAGCATATCCTAAAACTTAAACTGCTAATTGTTGTCTTAACACTACAGATTAAACAAACAAGGTATAACATGTTAAATTGTAGTGTTGGGCAGTAACACAGTAATAAGTACTTTCAGTGAGAAATTGTACATTTTTCAACAACGTTTATTAGTGGTAGGTGGATTTTGTTACATTCGGACATTTCAGGCTAGCTGTTTCCCCTGGCTGCCAGTGTTTATGCTATGCTAAGCCGCTGGTTCCTGCTTGATATTTTCCTCACAGACATGAGAGTGGGATCAAATTTCTCATCTTAACTTTTAGCAAGAAAATAAATAGGCATATATAAGTGCATTACTTTACTCATAAATGTTCTCACTCATTATCCAATTATCACAGTGAGTGAATGCGTCTCCGAAAGCTGGACAGAGTGAGCAGAATAACCATTTAGAAAGAGTGTTACAGTAATAGTAAGGAGTAATTTGCTGTTGAATGTCTTTACAGTCTCTCAATTGACAAACTTTTTCAATATTATCCTCAAGGTTTTTCTCATTGACCTGACTGGTTCACTTTGCTCCCAGAGCACTTGTCTATTCACAGAAAAAAACAGCGAGTGCAATGAAACTGTGAGGGCAAGATCAGCACTGAATTGGGTTAAATAATTTAGTTGATGGAAAAGATAATTAATGAGGAAGGAGTCAATAGCCAGTGGACGGTAAAAGTATGTGTGTGTGTGTGTGTGTGTGTGTGTGTGTGTGTGTGTGTGTGTGTGTGTGTGTGTGTGTGTGTGTGTGTGTGTGTGTGTAAAGGAGGGGCACAGGTGGGGGGAGAAGATCTCATCTAAAGGCTATGAAAGATTTAACAGCAGGAGAAGACAGGAATGACAATGTCTGTGAAGACACGCAACAAACCAAGTCCTCCAATTATATCTGGCATTTAACTGTCTGTCCTCTTTTCTGCACTTTACGCACATCCCATCACATCAATGAAATGAGGAATAACTATTTTTATGGACTTGATCAGTCACATAAAAGATCTATAATGATGTATGTATTCTGAGCATAGAACTCAAAAACATTAGAACAGATGTCAGTGAAAAAAACAGATGCCCATCGATCTGGTGCGGAGAGGCATTTCAAGATAAGACATTTTCCTTGTTTCCTCCAACTACAGCACATTTCCAATGTAAAAACCATTGCACTTTGATGCAAATTTTATCATTAACTTGGTGAATTTCTAAATTTATTAACTTTTTTGATAACACATTAATCATCTCAGTCATTTTTCAAGCCAAAAGTCCAAATTATCTCTTTCTCCATCACCTCAAATGTGAGGATTTGCTGCATTTCTCTATATCATATTATTGTTGAGTTTTGGAGAGTTGGTCAAGTAAAACAAGCAATTAGAAGCTGTTGCCATGGACACTGATTAGCATTTTTTTGCTATTTTTTAAAAAATGTATATTTAACAGATTAAAAGGTTAATCAGTTCATCGGGAAAATAATTGGTAGATTCATCAATTATGAAAAAGCCCTACTTTGAAATCTGCATCTGGATTTAAATCTGCACAAAATACACATTGTGATGGGAAATCATGGTAACAATCATGTGCCACATTTTTTCATACATTTAGTAGGTCATAAAAAATTGTGTAAATACTCTTGAAATCTTGCAGTGCTAATAAATGTTTTAAAAATAAACTGGATCGGCACCAAAAATGAATGTGTTCTTTCTAAGCTCATGGCAAATCTTTGGCCAGATTTTACTCTGTTGATATGTTTTTGACATATCAAGCTAGCTAACAAACAAACAGACCTGGTGAGCATGGGTGGTGCAGGGAGAAAGCTCCTGTCCATCACTGCAATGACAGTGAGTTTGATTCCTTGAGCAGACCCAGTGATGTACTGTTCGTTGTTGTTGGCAACATCTTAGCCTTGTTGCATTGCAATGAATGGTGGGAAAGTCAATGAGGCCGAGTGTACTAGTGACTCCTACGGGTTGGGCAGTAGTTTAGCGTGAACCTCAGCTAACAGTAGCATTAGTAGCATTATAAAAGTCGAATAAAACATGAAGCCTGATGGTTTAGACTCATGCCACATAACCTCAACATCCAAGGTTGAATTCTAGATGTGGATTTGTCATATATACTGTGAAATAAAAACGAAATACCAAAAAATAAATTTACAAAGAAGCATGATGGCTATTACACATACTGAAGAACAATTTGTAACAGAGAAGAATTAGGAATTAGGAAAAAGGTTGCCATGCTAACTGCTCAGCTACTCCCCTGCCATATTCTTACTGGTCCACATACTGTAAAAGTATTTTAAGATGGAGATTCAGCAAAGCATATCAGTGAACAGCAGCCTAGCTGGGTGATGGTCTGCTCAGCAGGATATTGCTGTCAGCTCATGTGCCTATTGAATTATGTGTAGAGAAACCACCGTTGTACCATCAAACACTCTGTTCAGTTTGACTTGGCTTGTAACAATGCAAAGCATGTTTTTTCTTCTTCTCTGGTAATCCCCAGGATGTCACTCTTCTGTTCTGCAGCACACATGTCAGAATCAGAGTTCCTCAACAGAGTGAGGGCTTAGTACTTCAAGCTTGTCACGGATCTCCAGATGGAAGCGTTCAAGGCTTCTTCCAGGCATTTATACTTGTTTATTTATTAGTGTTAAAGCCAGAGTTCCTCAGAGGACAGTAGCCAGCTGTTGCATTTTGGCTTTGTTCCACCGAGACGTGGAGGATTGTTATCCTCTTGATCGCTTGGCTGTCAATCTCTCTCGCTCCCTCTCTCCCTTTGTTTGCAAGTTGTACAATTAATTACAGTTTTGTTTTGTTTTTTTGCTTTCGGGGGGGGGGGGGGTTCTTCTCTATACAAGAGTTGAGATACAGCATGAGTCCTTTTACTTTAATCTAGACAGCATTTAGATTTATTTCTGGTATATTTTACGAAACCTTTACTTTTGATGTTTCTTTGTCTAAAATGTCATTATTATTCTACTGTTAAGAACCTAGGCTACTTTTTCATCGTGCTAAGAAACTGAGTGATAGTCAAACTATTACACAATAACAGCAACACCTGGGCACTGCAATGCAGCAACAACGGCAACCTGCACCCCAAAAATGACATTTGTTTACGTTCAAATGACAAAACCCTCTAGTGGTTGTGGGAATAAGGACTTTTGTCAGGATTGAACAAGAATAAAAAAGTAAATAGAGTAATATTGTTACAGTGTTTCTTTTGACCATGACTACAAACATTACAACGTCAGTGGCTTGTAAATGGCTTTATTTTCAGTGATTTGCAAAGGTTTTTGGAAAGCACGGACATATGATGTCATTGTGCTGACATCAGATCAGAGAACACTTACAGACATAAGTCTAAAGGGAAATTACAGTCAGGTATGGCAGTTGCCAAGAACGCTGTATCTGAGAACATGGCAGGAGTGGAGCTCATTCGTTGGTGAACCGTTTTACGTTTTGCTGTTTCTTCAATTTCACACGGGGTCTGTAAAGACGGTGGACAACCCTACCTCTCTCGTCGTCTAAGTAAAAACTCATGATCAGCTCAAAGCTTGTTCTTGAGCTTTTATTTTATTGTATAAACCGTTATTGCTACTGTTGGCTGAAAGGTGTTAATGGTTTAGTCCACTCCTGCACTCGGGTGGACAGAAGTCATTTCTCTCCAAATGCTGGCAGTGATACGAGTGTGATGAAGAACTGCGAGGCAGTCATGTCGCTACAAAGAAGGCTACAAAATAGGAAGGAAAGAAAAATATCATGGGTGGCAGTGTGTCAGACTGGTTTCATATTATAATAGGCAGCTTGTTGATGAATGAAGCAGCATTGTCCTCAGTTTGAGAAACCACCAGAGAGTGAATCAGCTGCTGCTCCATCATCACCATCTTCTCATGTTACTGAGGATGTCTGACAAGCTGAGCTCATTAGGTGCAGACTAAAAGTCATTTCATACAGTCGTTTTCAGCAGTTTACACTAAGAGGAGATTTACAACATCATCAGAGAGTAGTCTGTTTCATTGTACATTATTGTACAGTATTATTCAGTATGACTATCCGTATCAAGACAAGTCTGTCAGTTTGAGAGCGACAGGGTTCAGTTTTAATACTCGGGCTACCTGTTTCATATACTTCTGTGTGTACTTGTGTCTTTAGGTTTCTATGGTTTTATTATGTGAGACCTTGATTATTAATGCTATTTTTTCATTATGAAACGCAGTAGAAGAGTAATCCTTTCTGAGGGTAGGGACCAGAGTAAGATGTATTTAATATGTAAATAATCTTTTGTAATATTCTCACAGTGAAAGCTTCACATAGTAATTATAGTCAGTTGAGAAAGGAGGGTGAAATGAGCTTATAGAGTTTTTAGATTGAATAGACTTTATTTTCACTTCATTTAAAACACCTTGTTACGTATTTTCATGATAACCATGACAAATGCATGAGCTTACACTTGTTGATTTAGTTATTTATACAGGAGAGGCAGTGGATTATTGAACTGTATATGTACAGGGCAAAGATGTTTGTGCAGCGCCCCTGGTTACAATCTGTGTTTAATCATTTAATTTGGTTTACTTCATGTTCTCCTGTATGTTGTATGTTGTCCTAGGCTGAATTATAAAATTGCTGCTTTTATCATGTCCACTGTCTGTGACACAGAGTGATACTGGACCAAACTCTGTGGGCCTACATAAAACGTGCAAAAGTTTTTCACCAATACATCTTTGGTTGCTTTATAGTTGCAGACTCAGGCTTTGTGTCAAAAGGCCAAACACTCAGATCACAAGTTCAGAGAGACACTTCAGACACACAATCACTCCCACCTAAACCCACACTCACCTGTCCGTTCTTCTTCAGGTCAGCCCACATGCTCGTCCCATCACCACCTCTCATCAGGACATGGTAGGTGAAGTAGTAGATACCTGGCAGAGGGCAGGTGAACTTGCCGGTACCGGGCTCATAGTAGTTCCCTACGTTGGTCACCACGTCATCAAACTTTAGTATTTCACTTCCTTCGTGTTGTTTCCGGAGGCCGGCGTAGAAGGCGATCTTGGGGCTGTAGAAAGAGGGGCCATAGCCACCGGGTCCAGGCCCAGGTGGACCAGGTGGGCCAGGCTTGCCGGGCTCCCCGGGAGGCCCTTTAGGACCTGGAGGACCAGGAAGTCCAGCGCTCCCTCTAAACCCTTGTTTTCCCCTGCGGTTTGGGAAGTCTGGGGGCTGAGGGGAGACGGCTGTCAGCTCTCCCTGTGGGGGGGTGAAAGTGTCACACACCATCTTGCAGCTCCCAAGCATCTCGTAATGTGTGCCCCCTCCTCCGGACCCTCCCCCTTTGGTGGTGTGGACCAATAGGGGAATGGCCACCAACAGGACCAGGACCATGGCCACGCCGACTCCAGCCCCGATGACACGTTTTTTGCGGCTGAGCCGGGAGGCGGCCAGCGTGAGGAAGTCCTCCTCCCCCTTAGCTGGAATGGTTGTCCCGGCCAGGCTGAACTCTGGGTAGAGAGTAACTACTGGATCGAGAAGGTGGAGGGTAAAAATGTGTGACTGTGTGGGGCAGAGAAAAGAAATGGGGGCTATTCTAGGAGCAGGACAGGCAAGTCTCAGACAGGAACAGGAAAAAAAAAAAAAAAATCAGCAGTCTGGGGGAGAATAACAAACAGATCTTTCCATTTCTTGATGTTCACCACATTTGTTTTGTATCCTTTTATTTTTCAGTTTCCTCTGGCTGACCGTGTCTGTGGGCTTTCAACCTAATTAAAGATAAAACATCACCCTTCAGGCCAAAAATAACAAATATTTTAAACGTCTTTGTCAAAAATGAGCATCACCATTGAAATGTTAGGATTTTAGGCAACCACTGTTTTCTTAAATCCAGCTCTGTGGTTGTGGAAGCTCCAGTGAAAAGCTTTCAGTTGCTCAGGCAGAGAGCTGTCAGGTGGGGTCTACAGTATTCCCACTGGAGTTCATCTCACCCACCACATGCGGGGAAGGGCGCTTTACTTGTCTGTCCAGCAATGAGAAGAGAAGAACGAGGAAAGTGCTAAATCTCCTCTCTTTTCTCTCTGTATATCTGTTGTTTAAAGGAGCCTGGATTTGATTTAGCTCAGCAGTCTACTCCTCCATTCAAAGGACAGTTTTTTTACAGGTCATAAAAGGCAAATTCTGAAGAAAGGGCAGGCCAAACTGCGATGAATGTGGGCACACGTGTTTTAAAAGCAGCTTGGATGAAGCAGAAAACATTTTATCACAGCATCAGAGCAAATCACTGAATCTCTTGCAATCTAGAAGGAAAAGAAAACACATACACACATATAATAAAATAAGCAGTCATGGACAAACAAAACCAAATCCCCTATTATATTTGAACTTAAAATGTAGAGGAAATTTAGCAAACAAAGCATTGGAATTTGTATAATATAAATAATTTAAATCTGTTCTTCGCAATTTAAAATAAACAAAAATGCGATAGACAACATACGGATTTGTCATGATGCCTTAGGTTTATTTAAACATCTCTGTTGTTATTTTTAAAGGGAACAAAATGGGAAACCTCAGTAATTTAACAATCAAATGAACTCAGTTGATTGCTAGGTGTTGATATTATTACAGGCCTACATTGATTATGGTCTACAAACTCAGCCAGTTTTTAAAAAAGCACAAACACTACATATCGTACATAACTCAAAAATTCCAGTAATTTCCCTTTAATCAAAATGGTCACTTAAATTTTAAGCACTCGTCCCGATTTAATCAAAACAAGAGGAAATAATGATCTCACAAGCAAACGTTTGAGAAATTCATGCAAAATGACATCAACTTACCAAAGATTTTTTTTTTTTTTTCTCCTCTGCTTCTTTCTTCCTCCTCCAGCCGGTGATCAGAGTCTTTTCATGCTGCGGGTTCAGATGGAAACGCCGCAGGAAAACTGGTCCAGGACTGGAATGAAATCCTCCACAGACTGACTGAGCGCTTCCACCATCGGGTGAAGTTGCGCCGCGGTGCAAACTCAGAGTCCCACTAATATTTGAACTTGCAGCGTCTCATTCAGGAGTCCTGCACGGAAGCCGGACAGCACTGTCCGAAATGCTCACGGCAGCCCGAGCAGACACGGAGGATTTTTTTTTTTTTTTTTTTTTAATGAGTAACAACAACACAATTCAAAGTCTCGTAGCGCTCCCTCAAGTGAAATTACATATTCTGACCAATTACTTTTGCAGACTTCCGACGTGCAGACATCCCGCTGCAGAGCGACTTTATTTGCTGAGCAACAGTTCACTCACTTGTTGTATTTTCCGTCCTGCTTCTCTTTCCTCAGTGTCTGCTTACTACTGCTCCCCCGCCCTCCCTCCGTAACACACACACACACACACACACACACACACACACACACACACACACACACACACACACACGTTCAGATGCAACATTCCATCCTGCATGTGACCTTTTCACAAATCAAATGACTACATCTGTTTAATAGTTTAATCAAAGGATGTCGTTTTCCCTTCAAATATTGAAGATTTATTTGCAACACAGTTAGGCTGTACAACCAAAAAATTACTGTAATAATATTCATAGTGTGACTTTCTGCTCTTTGGTGGATTTAGAGTTTCCATGTTTGACATTACACCTTTGAATTACTTTAATAGAGGTATCATTTCAAGTTTTGATTTTTTTTTTTGTTAGAGATTTTCATAATTATCTCCTGAAATGTAAACTGGGATTGCCTCAGCAGTTCTTCATGTGTGCAATGCTCCAGACAGCAGATCGTTTGAGGAACTGTGTAGCTAGCTGCTATAGCCTTGCTGCACCAAATAAAGATTTTCAAGTATGAGTGAAACAGAGCTACCTGTGGAGCTGTGTTGGGGAGAACAACAGGTGTGAAGACACTGAAGTGTGAGCACAAAACGTGGGCTATAGATGTGAGACTGACACACATCATGCCGGATAGCGAAGTGAAAAGGATGAGGTGAAAGGAGGAGAGTGGTGTTCTCGGGGTTTGTTGTCAATGTCTGTATTTCTGTAGCTTTCAGACCTCGTTAGAGATGAAAGATGTATCGCTGCTGACAACCCCCCCTCCTCCTCCTACTACCGGTCTCTATCTTTTCCTTTCTCTCTCCCTGACTTTATATTTATAGCACTCCTAAATTAATTGATTCTCAAATTGGACATTATTTTTATGTTGTCATATATGGGAGTGTGTATGGCAGCTATGCTAAATAAGGGATTGTTTTCATGTGTGTTTTTTGTATGTATCAAAAACACACCTGACACTAAAGTCTGCAAAACACATCTGCCGTTAAATGAAGCCTGGCTATCATAGTAATGATAGTAAAGTAATGACATAATGCTGCTTACATTTTATCCAAAAATGTTGGTCTGGGGCATTTACACAAGAAACAGGTGAGTGAACCATTTAGGCAGCAGCCAGTCCTCTAAGGCACAAGTGTGCTTGTATGTACTGTCAGTTCTGCCTCTTATTTATTCATCTCCCAACTTTACTGAGCAGGAGAGTGTAGCAGATATTGAATATGGATCAATAGATCACTCCCCAGGATGCATACTGTCAGCCGACTGAGCCCTCAGGCAGATGCCAAGCCTCTAGTCACATTTGCATTTGGAGATAGAAAATAACTACTGCATGTCAGAAAGTGGGAAATGGTGTGGTCTCTACATTTTTTCAGAATTGGCAAATCAAAACTATAGAGGCTGGAGAATTTTTTGTATTTGTAAATGTGTGGTTTTACAGTATACCCCCTGCTTATATCCACTTCCGTTTGTGCATCCCTGGCCATGCTTCTTTATGTGCCTTTATGGCATGTGTGTGAGTGCCTGCATGCATACATATGTGCACACAGACACATATAATTTACATGTGGGCTCTGACACACTGGTGAAACACTCAGAGGCTCCATGCATTTAAATTATTATTGCCAAGAAGGGAGGACAATTTAGAGAGAAGGAGGTTTTTAGAGCCCTATGAAATATTAACTAAACCGATGAATATATAAGCTGTGAAGCGATAATATCTGTCTCTGACTCTTTCTCCTCCTGATATATGATATCATGTTCTTGTCTGTACTATATCATCCTCTCCTGTGTTTAATTAAAGCTCGAGTTTACAGGAAGAAAATGCCTGATCCTTTCTGTTGAATGTAAAATACCGAATTTTATCTGACAAAATATTATTTCATCATTGTTTTTAACCCACATGTTACATCTCCATTCTTGCTCTTGACTCTGATTTCTTATTTTTTGATGTCTTTCTCTTCTCTGACCTTCAGGTGTCTGAGCCGTGAAGTTATGATTAATATAAAAGCTTTGGAGCAACATCAGGCTGGAAGGACTAAAGCCCAGAGGGTGGCAGGGTTAAGTCTCAGGTGGGACATGGCTGTTGTTTGTTAACACAAAGGTCTGCTGACCCAACCCCACCAAGAGTACGTCCAGAAAAAAACTGAAGTCAAATGCTAAAGCACGTGTTAGCTGCTAGTTCGGAGCTTTTTCTAGGTGAGTAAAATGTGCGATTATATATGTATATATATACGTATATATATATATATATCAATTAAATAAAAAAGTCATAACTTGTTAAATGCACATCATCCTCTTGAGGCGAAACTGTCTCCAGTTATGTGAAAACACTTCTGGAGCTGGTGGGAATTCTGTGTCTAGCTGAAGTCTCCCAGCAGAGCAGTTTGAACTCAGGTCTCTGCAGGCCTATAGGCTACTGTGTCACTGTGTGGATTTATGGTCATTAAAAACAGGTTCTACGTGTTGGAATGACTCACTCCTGCTGATGCACTCTGGTTTTCCTGCCGCATGTCAAGATAGATAAGGCTGGACGGAGGTGATCTACCAGCAGGACAGTCACTCACTCTGTTTAGAACAATCAGTAAAAGCAATCAGGACATGAGCAGAGAGCCGGCATGTGATCAAAGGGGTTACTATGGTATTAACCAGCTCATTCAAGGTGGAGGTGCTTTCAACACAGCGACACACTAATACAAGCCAAGTAAGTGGCTGTGGAAGGGGCTCAACCTGACCTGCAATCTCACAGGTCAGAGAGCGAGCCAGGGGGAGAGCGCAACAGCCTGAGAGGGACGGAGAACGGAGAGGCGGTGAGGGTAATGGAAATGTAGGGGTCATAGCATCACATTGACAGTGTGTAACATGATATTGTTTAGTGTGACCATTTGTTGTGTTTCTACACAGTGGAAAGAGTAATTTTAACTTTTCTGCATGGCAAGGTAAGACACCATGTTCTCACCAGAGAAAGGACAAGATAGGAGATTTTTTTTGGATGTGACCTATGTTTATATTTACCTAACAAGAACCTCTTGTGGCCATACAAATTATAACGCTTGTGTTTCAGGAAAGAGGTGGAAGTAAAGTGACAT